TACAGACATCTCCAAAACCCCACAGCTGGACAAATTTACACTTGTGTTTATTAAATCAAATATAAATCTGCAGATAATAAATAATACTGCTATACTGTGTAGCTGTGAGTGAGAGTCATGATGATAATGATGGTGATGATATTGGTGTGTGTGTGTGTGTGTTTGTGTGTGTTGTGTGTGTGTGTGTGTGTGTGTGTGTGTGTGTGTGTGTACTCACGGTCCACCAGACGCTGTAGTGCGGCGCGTGCTCCACTGCCATCTCACACATCTCCTGCAGCTCGTCTCTGCTGGCGCGGCGGCTGAACAGAGTCAAATAGTGACTCCAGAGCTCTGCGTGTTCAGCGTTATCCTCCAGCGCACGCGACAGTGTGTTCAGCGCCGCGTCCAGACACTCCGACACAGAGCTGCGTGCACACACACACACACACACACACACACACACACACACACACACATTGCTCAAACCTTCAGTGAATCACTCAGTTAGACTTGCATTATCTAGTTTAAGCACACACACAGCCCAGCGTACAGCATCAAGATGTCAAGCTCAAACCCCACTGACAACCCAAACACACACACACACACACACACACACACACACACACAAGCAGGTGAGTGTGTGTGCGCACCTGTCCCTCTGGCTGAGGTATCTGAAGGCCAGTTTGATCCACAGCTGTGTGTGTGTGGGGTTCTCCAGCACGCTGGTCTCCAGGTTACTGATGTCGTCCGTCTCGCTGGTGAAGTAGCGCTTATCATCCTGAGTGACGCACACATCTGTCCAGCAGCGGCGCTCCGGCACAGCGGCGTCTGCGGAGACAAACACACACACACATACTTACACCACAGCGCAGTCAGCTGATGATCATGTGACTGCTCAGCGTGTGGTCATGTGACTCACCGTGCCGCGCTGGAGCAGTGATGCCCACAGTGAGCTGCTCTTCCTCCTCCGGGAGGGTCTTCAGTCTCTGGGCTTCAGGCCTCCACCTCCTCTGGGCTTTATGAGTGGTGAACGGAGGAACTGAGACAGCAGAGAGCAGCGGTCAGACTCAACATCACACACACACACACACACTTACACGTGCACGTGCGCGCACACACACACACACTTACACACACACACACACACACACACACACACACACTCGCACACTCTGATTCACACACCCACGTGCTTTCACTGACCCTGAACTCTATCTCTCTTTGTGTGTGTGTGTGTGCGTGCGTGCGTGCGTGTGTGTGTGTGTGTGTGTGTGCGTGTGTGTGTGTGTGTATGCGTGTGTGTGTATGCATGTGTGTGTGTGTGTGTGTGTGTGTGTGTGCGCAGTATGTGAGTGTGGAGAGCAGGTTCGAGGGTAAGGATTTCGTCGCTGCTCGTCTGGTGTCTCATCTGCTGGACGCTCCTGAACTCCAGCCGGACCTGCGCTCCTTCCAGCTGCTGGAGACGCTGCTGTTCAGAGCTCAGCTGAGTGTGTTCAGCGGACGCACACGCTCTGCCACACACAATCTGAAGGTCAGCACGCACACACACACTCTGCCATACACACACTCAAGGTCGGCACACACATCCTTGAATGTGGACAGAACAGAAGATCTTCAGGAGACCCTGTCCTGGTACTGGGGTCTCCTCCAGGTGGGTCAAACCCAGAACACTGCCCCAGGCAGGCGACAGGGGGCATCTGAACACAGAGTCCCATCCCTCAGCTACTCATTTCAGTTGCTTGTATCCCAGATCGCGTCCTGTCAGTGGTGACCCAGAGCTCAAGACCACAGGTGAGAGCAGGACGGCAGATTCGGCAGTACATCAAGAGCTTTGACTTTTCACAGTGGATGGATGCACTGACCGCATTACTGCTGCACCGGCCCGCCTGTCCATCACACACTCCATCCTTTCCTTACTACTGAACCTCCCAGTGCACGCTGAAGCTCCAGGTCTGAAGAAGTCTGATAACTTAATCTGCAAGTAGCAGAGATTAAGTCCTGTAGTCACTGAACCAGAACCCCTCCGGCCTCGGCTGTGCCTAGAAACTCTGTCCATGAAAATTCAGAACCAGTGACACAGGAGTCCAACATGCACTGGGAACAAGTCTGACTTATTGCAGCAATGTGAACCAAACGCCTGCTCTGGCATAGACTTTTCCAGGGAGGCTGAGGAGTGTGATAGTTGGAACACACCTCCGGTCCCCCTTGGGCACCACTACTCCAGCTGCCCAGTCCAATGGTGCTGTCCCTCCATGCAGTATTGTAGAGACGTGTCAGCCGGGACAGCCCCACAATATCCAGAGACTGTAGGTCCTCATGGTGTGTTCCTCCACTCGCTGCCGTGCCACTGCAGAGCTTCAGACTCCCTCAGTGGCCTCAGCTTGGGTGATGGTGAGTCCACCCCTGCTTCTCCAATGGAAGGCATGTCAAGTAGTTGGAGGAGATCCTTAAAGTGTTTTTTCCGCTGTCTAACAACATCCCCAGTCGAGGTGAACAGCTAGTTTCTTCTGCTGTAAACAGTGTCCGTGTGGAACTGCTTCCCCTGCTGGACAGATTGCCAGAATCTCCTGTGAGGCCCGGTAGTCTTCCTTCATGGTCTATCCTGACACTTTTGCTCCTGCAAGCGCTCTGGCTGCAGCATGCTGGGCCTGTTGGTACACACAAGCTGCCTCATGGGTCCTACAGGTCAAGTCTAGTAGGACTCCTTTTTCCTGCATCCCTTACTTTCAGTGTCTACCACTGGGTTCGTGGATTTCTGCCACGGCAGCTGCATTAGCAATGGAGTCTGAGAACATGGACCACTCGGTCTCAATATCTCCAGTCTCCCATGCAGGTTTAAAATCCCTCTGACTTGAAGTTCAGCCAGACATGCCTAGAGGACCCTCACAATATGTTTGGGCCTGCGGGGTCTGTCCATTCTCCTCCTTTTCCACTGATCCAG